CTGCCTCCTGGTCAGCCGGCCGAGACTCGTTGAGCGACCTGAATGCGCCCGAAACGGTGGCAGTGGTCACCGCGCCGTGATCCCAATAGGTGTCCATCAGCTCTCTCTGGTCCACCCCCAGCATCTCCATGCAGTACGCACGGAGTCTCTCAGCGGTCGGGTCCGCTGCCACTAAACACCCCTCCACGGGAATCCCCAAAATGGCCCGAATATCGTGCAACATTATACTCATTTCACCAAACGGCAGGTGAAACGAGTTAGTATCGGGCTGCCAGCGCTCCACGAATGCATAAAGTAGTGGAGTGTCCAGGTGCGCATGCATGGAGTCCGCCAAATGTGACATCCCCGACTGATCTATCAAACCACGTGGCTCGGGATCCATCTTGGCCAGCCACTCCTTCAGAGTGTCGTGCGCTCCATGCCTGTTTTGGCATTTCAATATGCCTCTAACATACCTGTCTGGCTCAGAAAACGTCATACGGGAGGCCACGTGCCCTAGAAAGCTAGGGATAACGCTCCCGTCACTGAGGCCGCCGGGTACTGGGGCTTTAACGATCCAAGCCTCCTCACCCTTAGCCTGTTTGCTACTCGAACCTGCATTTACAATACAACAAATAAGTATAGATATATACACGTCATATTGTGACTGATTGTGTAGTTAATTAAAAGATTTTTTATTTTTTTTATACACTATAAATAACCAATTATTCCATTAACGCTCAAATATAAATGTAGTAGTCATTGATGTTATTTAAAAATTATACTAATAAATTAAAATCACCTTGTTAGATGAAATGAAAATAAATTTTAAGTTATGTTATATGTGTGCATTAAAGTATTGTAAGTTATGAATAAATTTTTTTATATTTACCAACAGAATAAATCATTTTCTGTTCCTCAGACAATACAATATTTATTTTGAATTTATTTAAATATTATTAAATTAATTACATAACTAAATAATATTACTAAATAAAAATTTATGTAACTGACAAAATAGACAACTAGACAATTACATGTTAGATATATACACGACATATTGTGACTAACTATATCAATGATATGCTATTAGTAAATAAAAGTATATGTAACTAACAATAAAAAATTAAAGTACGTAGAATATTTACCAGAGGAGGATGCAGTACCCGCAAAACGGCCCCCAGCCTGTCGTGGAGGAGCAGGTCGTACCGGTCGTACCGGTCGTACAGGGGAAGGAGAAAGCGACGCGGTCTGCTCATCTCCAGAGTCAGGCTCCTCGCCCTCATCATCGTCCTGGTCATCGTCCTGCTGATAATAGTGGACCGGACTCTCGACGATCGAAGTCGACGACTGACGAATACGTATCCTCGTCGGCATACTGCCAGCCATCGATGAGCTGGGCTGCCCACCGCTCTGCTGACCACTCGGTTTCGAAATAACGATCGGTGGCAATCTCCTAGCCATCTCAGCCTGAGCTAACTTAGCCTCACGGATCCTCGCCTCCCTCTCCAGACGAACGTCGGCATCTACAAACCGACTTTTCGTGTGTCGCTCTCCAGAACCGTCGAGCTGACCAAACTCCACAACTCGCTCAGATCCATCACTCTAAATCAACAAATTAAACTCATAATTAATAATAAACAATTTTAATAATATTATACAATTTATAATAATTACTCTAT